GGGAGAAGGAGAAGAGGGGGAGGAGGAGGAGAAAGAGGAGGAGAAGGAGAAGGAGGGGGAGGGGGAGGAGGAGAAGGAGGAAGAGGAGGGGGAGGAGAAGGAGACGAAAGTGAGAGAGGCGGAGAAGGAGGAGGAGGAGAAAGAGGAGGCAGAGGGGAAGGAGAAGAAGGAGGAGAGGGAGGAGGAGGAGGAGGAGGAATAGTAGAAAGATGGGAAGGAGAAAGAGGAGGAGCTGAAGAAGGTTATCAATTACAACAGGTGCAGCAGCCATGGAAACAGGAGGACTACGTGGTCGTACACTGCACTCATGGGTTTAATCGGACGGGTTATATGATCATCAACTACTTGCTAAGGACAGTGGGAGGGAGTGTGGAGGAGCACCTGAAGGCGTTTGCTAGGGTGAGGCCTCCTGGAATTTACAAGGCCGATTACATCAGGGAGCTGTTCTGCAATTACCATCAGAGAGGGGTGGAATCGATCGACTTCCCGCCAAAACCAGTGGCATCTCTGGGATTCCCGCCAAAACCAGATTGGAAGAGGAGCGATGACGAAGGGGGTAGAAGGAGGAGGAGGAGGAGGAGGTGGAGGAAGAGGAGGAGGACATTCATTGCTGCAAAAGAGGAGGGGAAGCAATGGCTAGGAGACCCAAAGAACCAGGACGACGATGAGGACCAGGGGAGGAAGATGAACGATGGATTGGGCGAGATCGCACATATCTGATGACGTGTCCATGATGACGTGTCGTGCTTTGGTTATTGCCCGCCCAACACGATGGGCAAAGCCCCTTTTTTTTTTTTTTTTTTTTTTTTAATCGGGGAAAGCTTTTGCCGGTCTAATTGGTGGGACAACAACCAACAGGAAGATGATGATGGACTGCGCGAGAGTGTACGACCAAGAGAGGAAGATGATGGATTGTGCTAGAGTGCGCCTCTGATGACGTATCAGGCTTTGGTAATAGCCCGACCAAGAGGAATGGGAAGCGGTTTTTTTTTTTTTTTTTTTTTTTTTAATTTACCGGCAGAGTTTTAGCAGGTCTAATTGGTGGGGACTAATTTAGAAAGGGAAAAAAAAAAGAAAAAAAAGAGCGAGTTCCAGCATGTCTTCTGTTCCGGTCTCTTCTTGTTCTTCGTCCCCATCCCGATGCTTAGGAACACGATGACGTGTCATCATTGATATGACACGTCATCATTGACATTATATGACACGTCATCATTGACATTGATATGACACGTCATCATTGATATGACACGTCATATCAATGATTCGTCGCGGAAGGGGAGAGAGAGCCACACGATGACACGTCATCATTGATATGACACGCCATCATTGACATGATACTAGCACTTTTTCTCAAACAGGAAGGAAGGAGGAGGAAGTAGAGGAGGAGGAGGGGGAGGAGGAGGGAAAGAGGAGGAGGAGGAGGAGGAGGAGAAGGAGGAGGAGGAGGAGGAGGAGGAGGAGGAGGAAGAGAGGACAATCTCCAAGGTTCGCAATGAATCGGAAGAGTAAGAAGATCGCCATGGGAAGGTACGGAACAGAACACTACTTTTGTTCCGTACACAACACGACTATGTTGCGCTTGTGTGTACGGAACAGACCTATGTCTTGCAGTGTACGGAACACGTCCATGCAACTGTTGCGAGTGTGCGGAGCAAGACTACTTTGGTCCGTACACAAGACAACTGCGGTAATGTTTTGCGAGCGTACGGACCATCGTTGCCAGCGAGTGTACGGAGCACAGATCAATGTTGCGAGCGAGTGTACCGAACAAGTACGTTCTATGTTGTTCCGTACACAGCATAGCTATGTTCCGTACACAATACAACTAATTTTGCGAGTGCACGGAACATGGTCGCGAGAGTACGGAACGCAGCTGTGTTGCGAGTGTACGGAACAACGGAACAACACTGCTTTGTTCCGTACAGTCGCATCAGCATGTTATGTTGCGAGTGTACGGAACACATTAGTATGTTGTCAGTCAACGGAACAACACTGCTTTGTTCCGTACACAACACACAAGTACTAGTTCCGTAGTGTCCGTACACTTTTTTTTTTTTTTTTTTTTTTGGGAAAGTTCCGTAGCCTTACAGCCACTGCATGATTGTCGAGCTGGAGAGAAAAAATCCGAACTGAGGGAAAAAATGTTTCAGGATTTGCTCCAGGCCTCACCTTAAAGCCTT